ATTTTGATGCAACAAGTGTCTTGACCATTCTTTTAGTATGGGCTCCATCAAAAACCTTTTCTACTGAGTCTGGTGGATGGTTTCAAGCAACATAAATCTTATGCCCACTTATGTCTAAATAAGGCTTTTCGTGGTTCCTTCCTGCTCTTCTCATGGGCATGAATTTCACTATGACCTTTCAGTGATGCCCCTTTACATTTCCTACTAAAGCCTTCCTATTTTGGAGACCAACTCTACTGGACCCAACAGTCCTTAGTTATCAGATGCCACTATAGAAAAAAAAAAAAAGAAAAAGATAACACAGATGTTTTATCTTGGTTCTGGGTTTTCCTAGACACTGATTTTTGTTTATGCCTGCTTCAAACCACAGTGATGTTTCAGAAAGTTTCAGAAAATACTTTCTAAAGTCAAGAGCTGTTCACTCAGGTGCTACAGGAGGATTAAATACGTCAGTGAGCTGGGACCAGAGCTCAAGTTCCTCAACCCATTCAAATGTTCTATTCAGTTGTTTGCATTGTTTCCCTAGTTAATTTTCAGTGTTCAAATCTGTAATTTACATACTCAGACCAAAACTTGTAATTTACTCTGTTTCTCTAATGTAGTTTAAATTGTACTTTTATTATTAAACTGTTAAAAAAGTGCCTATGGACTATTTGGAGAGTGGCTGACATTTCATAGTGTAGTGGTTTAGGTTATTAATTATTATATTTAGATTATTTTTTTATTATCCCAAAGTCTGTTGGTGTGGGAATAGCAACTTCAAGTGATTGTCAGTTATTGAGAACAACATTTGGATTATTACCTTTCCAGAAAAGTACTCACATTTCTGCCGGGGAATTGCCTTAATTTGCTTTTATGAATAAAATTTAATGAGGTATTAATGCAAAAAATAATTATTTAAAAAATAATTAAAAAATTTATAAGATTACCAAAGCAGCATTTTTTCTACCAAGCCCATTTGGACCTTTGGTCACCCTGCTAAAAATACCAAAAAAAGTCTGCCAGTTATTGCCAGGGCTAATAATGACCCCCGACCGTGGTGGCCCAAAGTAATCTCTGCCTTGGTTTCCCAGCCATTAAATATGATGGGGAATACAGATCCCTGTAGGCTGTGACTCTTTCTCTTGTTTCATCTTTTAAAGCTCCAATTCTGCAGTGCATATAAGCACAACTTTATCATTGTGACAGCACTGCTGTCAGTGGAGCTGCTCCAAGAATAAGGTCAGCAAGAGCATTCCTACAAGGCCATGGATTGAAAAATATTTGGGGTAAGATTTATTCCCCAGTTAAGAACCTGAATGGTGCCCAGCACAATAGATTCTTCTATTTGTTTGTGGCTTCCTCAGTAAAAAAGTTTGTTACAATAGTAATAAAGTGAGAAGTTCTATCTATCCTTTATCATTTTACAGCACTGTCATATTTCACATCTGGTACTGTGTTTGACTTTTATTCCCAGCCCTGTTAATATGTGACATATCCACTGAACTGCAGACTCAGAAGACTGAGTGAATGTATCTAATAAATATTAAGCTCTAGTGTTATACACTTGCACATCAAGAGAAAAGGACAAACACCTACTTTGCAGACATCTGAATTTCTAATGTGTCAGATGGAACACACTGGTTTCAATCAAAAGCAAATCTACTTAAATGGATTTATGTTCCTCAGACAGGCAAAAAATAAGCGTGAAATGCTAAGGTATGTTTCTCTGGTTTTATTTCAGTTTCTTTTCACAAGATGAGACAGTACAGTTATCAGATATTGGTCATTGAACAGCCTTTCATTAATTATTTAGGGAAAAGCTCAGCTGTTTTAGATGGCAGAAGAATGCAATGTAAGGTGAGTATTATCCATTATTTTCACTTGAACAGAGATTTATTTTAGCCCAGTTTCCTGTTTACAGGGAAATGAGGCCAGTGGGTGACTTCTCACTCCAATGACTGAGGACTTGAGAGCTGCCTTAATAAATCCATTGCCAACTCCCTGCTGACTATTGATTCCATCAAGCTCAATGAACAGAAATAAGAAGTTTCTAATTTGTTGTGACTTTGCATAGATGTGTTTATTTATAAAAGGAGGGAGCTGTGGCAGTGTGCTTTCCATGGTTACTGGTACAACTGAATCCACTGGTACGACTTTGTGTTGGCAAGGACTGGGGAGAGAAGGGTGGCAGGCATCTTGCAGGAGATGAGATGATGCTGATATTTGTGATTATTGCTTTTCAGCAGAGTGTCTGTGCTCCCTTTCCTCTGTGCCTTTGCTTTCTCTATCTGATATTCTAAACATAACATTTCTAATATTGTTGAGAAGCTAAGAGCAGGGGAAAAAATTTTGCACTAGTTCTTGGGGGCTCATGCCCAGCTCATAGGTCTAGCAAGACAACTTACCTGCCTTTCCTTCCACTAACTTTATCCAAAAATAGTTACTCAGCCCTGTAGTTGAAACTAGAAATAGTCTAAATTGATGATTAAATAACCCAATTAGCTCCAGGGTTTAATCACTAAATCTTCTAGTTCATAGGGCAATTTGAATATATTCTTAAAATTCTTAATGCAGTTTTGTGGGCAATGAAAAGAAGGCAGTTGGAGGAGAGTTTCTGCCATCAGTCTATACCCACTATCACTGTTTTGTTTCTTTTTAACAGCTTCAAGCCCCTCATTCCCAGGAATTTCTCTGGTTCTTCACACTTAGTTCAGTATGAAAGATGTTTTGTCAGAAATATAAGTATGAAATAGAGGAGTAATTCTCCATTCAGCAGGGGATTCTTCACTGAACAAGTGACTGTCAGTTCTCTGTGGTTCATTGGCTGGCTGTGTGAATAAACAACTATAGACTCAACTCCAGGAAAAAAAAACTTTTTCTTCTTGTAGCCACCAAGCCTTTGCTTTCAGATATGGGAATAAACTACTCCCTGCTGTCTTGTTTGGAAATGCTTGTGGGCAGAGGTTTGATAGTGAGATTTGCATCTGTAACTGTCTCTGGTAGTGCCAGCTTCATAATTCTGTGTGTAAGAGAATGCAAAGCTTACCATGCAAACAAGGTCCTTGATAAAATTATGTGAGTTCTAAAATAGGAATATTCAATGCATTAAGAGAATAAAAAGTAAATTAACACAGAGATTCAGCAGCTACATTGAGAATCTCACAGTAATGCTTGCCAAATCAAGTAATACATCAAAATTTACATTTAAGAAAATTACTGTCACAAAGTTTCTTATTTGCACAGTGCTTCAGAAAAGCTACTAGTTGTTTCTCAGTCAGTTGTTTTTGTAGTTACCAACAGTTGTATTTTCTCTTTTTTTCTTCTTTTTTTTTTTTTTTTCCCTTCCTTTGAGGGCTGTGGTGCTTTGTTTTCTTTCTCTGATATCTCCATGGGGCTGGAAGGAGAAATTGCTGTCTGAGTGACTGAAATTTCAAACTTCTATGTTGTCTTAAATTGGGATGAAAATCTCAGAATAACTTGTAAACAAAACATGCAGAAATTTTTCTTTCTGCCATATAGAGAATCTCATTTCACTAAGTTCAGAGCTGCTAAACTGATAGTCTTATTCTGTTATTTAATCAGAAAACAGTAAGGACAAAAGTTTGGACTTTTTTGCAATGAAACATGTCAATATTCTGATAGTAAGACTTAATAATATCTAACAACTGAGAATTTGAATGAAAATAGCATTTATCTGCAGGACATTTTCATTTTGAGTTATCAGTATTTCCCAACAGTTTACTGTAGAAATTTTTCATCTCACTTAAAGCAGCTTTGTTGTGCTGTTATTATTATGTAGGGCTCTATCCTTTGTTTACAGGCAGCACTACCTGCAGAACTTTGAATTGAGACTGTGCGTCATGGTAGGAAGAAGGGAAGCAGAAGAGGATGAAATAGGAAAAGAAAAACCCATGCATATTTAAGTACAAGTCATCAGAAGCAGATTGTTGTAGAACTGCTTGTATGAGGATAATCTCTGTGTTACAACATCTTTCAAAATATGTTAAAATCCCTGAATCAGCCACGAGGCTCCTGGCAGATATTGGAGGAATTTGGGAGCATTTTGTGCAGAAGCTTGGTGTTGATTTGGTATGTGATCCACAGTGTTGTGAGCAGGTGTGTCTACAGTATTTTTAATTATTTGAGACCTTTGTTATGTCCATAAATATGTGGTAATTGTGCTTTCTCACTCAGCCTTGGTTATTTGTCTGGGGGGAGAGTCACTTCTCAGATCTTCATCACATGCACAAAAGCTGTTTGATGTCATATGAATGCCCTCATACAGCTCCTGGTGACTTCCTTGTGGAGATCAAACCATTATGGCAGCACCTGAGGCCCCATTTGAAACCATATCTCAAGCAATGCACACAGATAACGAGACAGAATTGATATTGATAAGTTGCACAGGGAAGGGGAGGAAGTGCTGATTTGACAGACATGAGGCTGAGACTTTTTTCTGGTCCTCCCCTGCAAATGAAAAGCCAGTGGGGAAAAAAAGGCATTTAAAAACCTTGACAGTGGTAATGGTAAGTACACAGATCTGACATCTGTGTTTTGATTTCAACTCTGTGCAGTAACAAAATTAGTGAGTATCAACACTTTCAAAAGTTTACAGTGTTTGTGTCACCTTCTGTTGAAGTCTGCCCAGTTCTCTCTTTTTCTCCCATTCCCTTCCCCTCTGTCATCATCCCAAGAGCAGGATGACTGTCAGCTGCACACTCCTCTGCTCCAGCACTGGACATGGATGTGGAATGCACCCTCTTTACTCTTCACACCTGAATGATTCTTCCTCTCTCCTGCCAAGCAGGACCATAACAGCTACATGGGGGACAAATGGGATCTCTGTGTCCACAAACTTCATAAAATCCCAGTAGTATCAATTCCAGTAGCATCATTCTCTGCCTCCTCCCGTAAAAACTTTCCTTTGCACTAATATGATTAGTGGTACCAGGATCTTTTAGGTATTTATTTATATCCTTATTATGATTCAAATCAGGTCATCAATGCTGTCTTTACAGATCCTAAACCCCTTCAGTGTCCTCCTAAATGGGAGTCCTGAAGAAGCAGAAAAACACCCGAACCCAGAATCCCAAGTTATCTCTGCTAACTGCAAGGAATGATCCAAACTTGCAGGGTAAGTTGCTTTTCATTTCCTGTGCTACAAGTCCCTGGGTCTTAAATTTGTTATTATTTATTATAACAACACAGACTGAATGGAAAATGTTAATTTATTTTTTTCTTCCTGGAAGGTGAAGAACTGCAGAGAAAGATATGCATGGATGTAAGTACAAGGAATGCTTAAAAATAACTGAAAGATCTTACAGTTAAACATTAATGTGTATCAGGAAACTTAAAAGATACTAATGCTGTAGGACTTTATGAGTTTCATTCACTCTTGTGTTTTTATACTTTTATGCTACTCAAATCAATACACGAGGAAGTGCAAATAAAATCTTGTTAGAAAGGTAACAACACACTGAAGAAGCATATTCTTATTTTTGGGGGTTTTTTTTGATGACTTGGTTGTAAGATTCTGTATTTACCATATGCAGGATCAGAATGAACTCCTGATCATTTTACAAAAACACTTCCTACATTGCTCTTTACTCTGCCCTTCCTAAAGAGAGGCATCACTTGATCGCTGCACTCCTGATAATAATTCAGAGATCATAACACAGAGATCCTCACAGAGATGATGGAGCACTAGGAGTCTAGCAGCTCACTAGTTAGGGATCAGATGGAGGAATGCAGTCTCACTGCCTGATCAGAAGTTTAAAATGCCCTCCAGAACACTGACAAAGATTACATTCTATAAAAGCTTCTCTCAGCTTCTGTGGAAGCTCCTGGTCTGCAAGACTCATATTCTTTCTGAATTAGTATTTTCAAGTCCTGACCTGTGACCCTTTCTGTCATAATGTGAGAGTTATCATATGATTTCCATTTTAATAGGTTAAATTGCCCTACATGCTGGCTAAATGATAAATGTTGTGCATACCTCTCCTTTTTCATCCTCATACATGTTTTGAAGAAAATACCATCTTTTGGAGTATCTGTGCACTGTCCTGAACAATATAGCTCTTGCTTATGTGTCAATGCAGGTGTTAAACAGTAGGAAAAATGATAATAATGTTATCAGTGTTGCTAGTTAATTAACTTCAGCTGTAGTTTTCAAGAACAAAGATGTCAAGGGATGACAAGAGATTGACAAGGAGGTAAGCCTCAAATACATCTAGATGGAGGGAAGAGAAGAGAAAAGCAGTCTGCTAGACCCTTGCTTCCTCTTCACTCCACAGAAGCCAAATTGGTAAAGGTAGAGCTCCAGTGGAAAGTGCTTTCATCCTTTTTTCTGTGCTGTAGGAATCTTTGCAGTTTCTGATAAGAACAAAACTATGTCATACACAAAGAAATTCTAGGGATGATCCATATTTTCTTATCCTTTCATGAATAGCTGTTGCACATTTGTATTTAGGGTCAGGGGGAACACTGACAACTGATATTTTTTCCAGCTGTGCCCAAGCTATTCACAGAAAGTCACACAGATGCAAATTTAAAAGACCATTAATCACGTCTGGAAAAGATGCTCCACATCATGCATAAAT